AAGTTACAGACTTTCTGATTTGACACATTTGTGTGAAAATTAGATGCGTTTAGAAAAAGGGAGTACACATACACACCTAATACATACACAGGCAAACCATGGCTGTTGTCTTTGAGATTTGCTAAGTTTTGATGTGGGAATATTTTGAGTAATCTCATTTATTTTCAGAAATGCCAGGTGTGGCTACCGTTTGTTACTTTGTTATGTAATGCCAGGTTTCATTGGTTGAAGCACTACTTTCATAAATAATACATTTCTCCTTTTCTTCCCATGGTAGGATGAAGCTAACCAAGAACTCAAAATAATTGAAGAATTAAAGACAGAAAACAAAAAACTGCAGAAACAAAAAGGAGAGCTAATGACAGGGTTTAAAAAGCAGTTAAAGTTAATTGATATTTTAAAGAGACAGAAGGTAAGGACCAGGGTACTGTTATATCTCAGTTAACAACCCATAGCTAAACGTGTCTGTTGTCAGGTAAGGTAGGCACATAAACCAGAGCCCCAAGACTGGGAAGCTTCAGTGCGAAGGAGCAGCAGCCTCACTTTTATTAGTGCCTGTCACTAAGATTTTGCTTTATATGAAAGGCTGCTCTTCTTTTTAGTTCACCCCTTTCCTAACTTGGAGCATACCCTGGCATGGTGAGAGAAGAATCACTAGCTTTAGGACCAAGAGTATCTGTCTGTTCAAGAACAAACACCATTGAGGCAGTAGCAGCAACTCCTTTGGTGCAGCGTCAGCAGAATCCATCTTAGCACGGGAGATTTCCAGCCCCCCCGCAGCGTGTTACTTGCCGTAGCAGCAGCCGCAGCAGCGTGCCCCTCAGGAGCGAGCCGTGCCATTTTAGACCAACCTCCTGCCTGGGTTCTCACAGCGGGTCCTTCTCTATCGTCATTGCTTCTTTCTGTGTACAGTCTGCGGTGGTCTGTCTATGTGCAGTTCTGCCCAGGTGCAGCTCTCCTTGTGTGCCAGACAAAAAAAAGAAAAAAGGAGTACTTCTCTTCAGTCGGAATCTACTAGACTGAAAGAGGGGAGTTGATCTCCATCCTCTTGTAATTCCTGGAGCATCGTGCCTACTTTGGATGACACATAACGTAGTAACATCTGCATGGGTGTTCCCATTATGCAGGGCACTTGCAGCCAGCTTTATTCTGAAAGCCCTTTCAGTCTACATGCATTTCCTATCTCCCTCATTCCTCTCCCTCAGGGCATAAAATGGAGGGCAGGGCAACTGCCTTTCAATTTCTTTAGCAGCTGAAGCTGAAATTGAATGGAGAGTCGGTAGTAGAATGCTTGCTGACAATTCCTGATGAAAAATCAGTGATACAGCTTTCATAGGTGTTGTAGTGATAACAGTACTTCAGATGATAGAACATAGCTAAAAGTGTATTTAACGATGGTATTTGATAAAGCTGTACTGATGTCCCAAAAAGGAGGGCTATTTTACCTGGAAAGAGAAACTTCAGCCACTGCAAAGTGGGTAAACACCTTCTATTTCTCAAAATATATTTTCAGCACCGATCTGTCAAATGAGCTTTGATGGCCCAAATTGAAAGAACCTGTGAGTTTACATGAAAGGAAATGCATGTGGGAGGAGTGAACACTAAAATGTGTTGCCCAAACCAAGTAATTTTCCACTCAGTGATGCATTTAGCCTTACTAGTTCCATCACACTCTTCCCTTACCAAGTACTTGGAATTGCGTGCTATCATTTGTATCGGTTTTCTTTCTGAGGCCACCTGAGACATATGCAGAGCGACGGGCTCCACAACGGTCCAGACAGGATCGTAACATCATAGAGTGGCTCACCTCGAATCGCTTACTCTGCCAAATCTAACGTGGTTCCTTTCAGGATGAAGTTAATGCGCTGCTTTTCGCGCTCTCAAACCGAAGCTGTGAGAGAGCTAAGGCAAGCAATGTATGGTGACTTGTTGAGCAGAAGCACCTTAGCAGGGGCAGCCTTTGAGATGAGGAAACAGAACGTTTAATTTGCCCTTTGAGTGCTGCAGCGATCACCAGACATTTTGTAAACACTCTTGAAGCTGCTGTGCCCCCCCCCCCGGGGAAGAACAGTTCTGTATGAAGTGGCAGCTTCATGTACCAAATACACATGCTTATCCTGAGAATGGGAATTGCAAGATGGAAATACACTCTTGAGTCAGAATGCCTCTCCAACGCAGGACAAAGGAGGATGGGTAACCGGAGTAAGGAAATGGGGCTGCTCGTGCATTTCCAGTGGAAGAGAAGTTTTCTGGCAGCGACAGGATGCAGAGGAGATCTGGGGGATTCTTCTCACAGAAATAGTGCCAGCTTAGCCTTGGCTGGCCCTTCTAGCTCTTCAAGTTTGAGAATGAAAAAACCCCAGCATTCACTCAAAATAAACTCTACACATTGTCCTCTGGAACATGAATGCAGTGAAATGGGTGTCAGAGAGCAGTATGTCTGTTTGACTGTGAACCAAAACCATAGTCTTAGAGAAACTCCATAAAACTTCATTAAATATATTTTTTAAAAACCGTGAATACTGTATCAGCGCTGCAGACAGTGGAGGAAGCCACTTACCTTTTGTTACAAAAGATGTTACTTACTCCCAGAGGAAGGATGCTGCGAGTTGTCCCTTCAGCACAGACTGCGACTGGAAGAGCCTGACAGAGAATGGACTGACTCTGCCCTTTGCAGCTCCTGTCAGAGGGCACAGGGGGAGGGCGCCCAGTGCTCACCTGTGCTCAAGAGGGGTCATCCCCAGGCCAGCTTCAAGTCTGCTTCACACAACCCTGTGTGTTGAATGAATGAGGAAACCCTGATTTGGGCTGTTTGTGTGGAGGATTCAGATGGGCGAGGCAGGTCCAGCTGGCCTGAAGGGGAGGACATGCTACCGCATGAAGAATGACCGGGGAAAAAAAATCCTCAAAAGGTATTAAATACCAGGGGTAGGAGGAGTTGCAGCTGGCAGCAAGCAGTTGCCAGTGTTCCACTTGGTCTCTTCAGACCATGCTCTGCTTGTCTTGAGGGGCAGAATTCAACAGAAAATCTGAAGTTTTAAAAGGGATTAAGGGAAGGTAGTCTGAGCTTTACAGAGCTGGAAGGTGTTAGACTGCCTGTGGGAACTGCGGTATGCTTTGTTGTCGTTTTGCACTGACAGTGTATATATAAAATATATATAAAAACCCCCTCACAACAGACTCCTTGAGGACATGAACTGTTTCCTGTTCTTCAAAACATAACCATTTTATTAAAATTTGTAGTAAAAACTTATTTAGCTGGGACATTTTGCTTTCCGCTTTGAATGCTGGTTGGTAAAGAGACTGTTCTCCAGTGTGGTGATAAGGACGTGTGGCACAGCCGTGACCTCTGCGGTGACATCAGCTGGAACCCAGGGAGCTTTCAGGGCTTTCCAGCTGCTGCGCCTTTTTGATTGGTAGTTCTGTGCAAACACACTGACCCTTTAGTACTTGTTTTCTCATCAAACACTGATGATCTTGATGACATTTTCCCAAGCAATTGCATGACTTGCACAGAAAATAGCCTTGTTAGGAGTTGAATGTTGTGATTGTTCCCTTCAGCGTTCTGTTTAAAGCACTGCGACACCCTGTGTAGCAGAAACCGCTTCGGGCTACTGTATGGGTGTTACACACCATCACGTGTGCACGGGGTGTAACGGACCACAGACGTAGGGTGTGATACACAGCAACACGGCCGCCAGTGGTCAGCTCCAGGTATTTCTCATTAAGGTTTAGTACAGTTACTCTTTCCTTTATGCTGGTTGGTAATTTTCAGTGGTGGTGTATATTTTGTTAAAGTCCCCGTTTAACATTAAATCACGCATATTAGAAGAGCCAGCACAGTCTTAATTATGTATTCAGTTTGTAATAGCTTTGAAGTTAAGCTGTACATTGATCAGCTCGAAAGAATGTATACCAGTTGTACCATACCTGTTCTTTAGAGGTCACAAGAGTTGTCAGATTTTCAGCTATTTCCATGCCTCATCAAAAAAGATATTTTTAAAGCAATGTAAGGAGCTGAGAAAAGCCTTTGGTCCTTTTTACTAGAGATGGAGTTGTGATGTTTAGCATAAAATTTATCACATTATCCCTACAGAAAAATATGAACAGCAGCTTAAACAGGTGAGCAGCCGTCAAAACCACTAGAATGATAGATGGGAAGCCCCTTTCAGCTGTCCCAGTTACACGGGACTTGCTTTGCTCATTCACACTATTTTACCTTCTGCTCCTAATTTTTTTTCTTTCTTTTCCTTTAAGATGCACATTGAAGCTGCTAAGATGCTGTCTTTTACTGAAGAGGAATTCATGAAAGCTCTTGAATGGGGAAATTATTGATTCCATAAAAAACCAACTTCTGTTTGATAGACAAGTCAGACGGTACATTATTTTGTCACTGTATATGAATGCTTGTTAATAGTTAATGACTGCATATCTCCGTGAACTGATTTTGTTGATTTTGTTTATGTTTAAGTTAACTTTTATAAGCCTGATAGTTTGTGTTGTAATAGCATATGAAACATGGAATTTCTACTTAAGTTTGAGGCCAAACTGTCCATTCCGTAACGAGCTTAGAAGCACAGACTGTGCAAGGAATATTCCAACAGTGAACTTTGTTATCACTTTGCTCTGTTTTAGCATTTAAACTCTACCTTATACAAGGTAATATTCAGTCCAAAGAAGTCAGGGTTTAGACTCAGAAAATTCCATGTTGCAACAGAAATAAATTAACCAGTGATCCAGCTGAGAAGAAGATGTCCTGTCCTTTATAAAACACGTGGCTGGACAACCGGCCTTGCTGGTTGTCTCTGACAGCTCTCCCCTCAAGGCTAGCTGGTCTGGCATCTAGTTTAAGCACCAACAGCTCTTTTACAGAAATAAGCATAACTGGTTGTAGCTATTGCATCTCACACCCTGGCTGGCAGAAACATACACGAGACTTGCCCCTCGCTGTCCACACAGACTCTGTATCTGATACAGCTGATTTGTGTAAAATTGCCGCTTTAGTCAAGGTGAAGAATCTTCCCCTGGCCCTCAGCCGCTGCTTCGGGATACAGGCGGGCATGATGGCGCCACCCTCGCAGGTGCTCTATGAACGTTACATCCTTAAAGATTTCATTATGTCATCATCACAATCAAGAATGAGGTAAAAGTCTGAGCGTAGGTGAGCTGAGTGTATCGTGTGTACATTAGTACAGGAGCAATAAAAGCCTGTGCTGCTCGTGTGAACCTCTGTCAAACCTCAGCCAGTTCCATGGATTCCTCCTTCAGCGTAACTGAATGGGAACGTGGCACAGAAAGAGGAAGTTTATGCACTGAAAGAAAGGTATAAATGGTGAATCTGACCTCAAAATAGAAAAGTGTCTCTGCCTAGATCCTACCAGCAAAGGAACACGAACAGTGAAACAAATAACTCAGACCTACCCCTTGGCAACGGGACAACCACACTGAGATTAGTATTTTAGAGTAATGCCAGCGCAGGTAACTCTTTCCATTACAACCACAAACAGTGCAGTAAGAGAGCCTTGTCGTCCAGACTGAAAGGCACATGTGAATTTACACTGGCTCAGGTTTCTGCAGAGTTGCTGGAAAAACATTTTTAGTGTCACCAACTGAGAACAGCTGAGACCTCTGTAACAGTTTATTGATGAGAAATGCCAAGTACAACATACGCTTAAATAAAACTAACTGCTCATCAGTTTAGGACTCCAGTCTTAAAATGGAGACTTTTAATGCTATTAAAAGGGAGTTCCTCACTGTTCATAGCAAACGGAAATTTCATTAGAAATCAGGTGACACCTAGTGGCAAACGAGGAGATGAGAAGGGGGAAATTTCAGCTCTCTCCTGAAAATGCATTACCTCTTCTCTTCTGATAAGCTGACCGAAATTCCTCTCCGAGCATGTTAATGTCGTCTTCATCTTTGAGTATTCCCTGCAATAAGGGAAAAGAAACACACGTCGGAAGGTAAAACAAAGCGGAGAGATTGTTATGGATCTCTGAAATCTTCTACAGCAATGAATGTAGTACGTGATACCAGTGTTCCCTCCAACACAGATAGCCCTGAAAGCCGTCGCAGAACTCCAACAGATGAGTCTCAGACGGGCATGCTGGGTGCTAACCTAGAACCGCCCCTTTGGTTCTTCATGCAAAGGATGACGGGAACCCCGTGAAGATGCCAGCAGGAGCACTATGCAGGAGAGACGTTTATCCGTGTTCTCTGTCTAACAGAAGTGGTTATCGTCAGTACGGCACAGGCGCAGGCTCAGGAAAACGAAGCAACTGCCCTGCAGAGGCACTGGCTGGGGCGGGGCTCCGTCTGCCCCTTTAGTTGTGTTGAAGTTCACCCACACAAAGAAATTGTTTTGGAAATCAACTGATACTGAACAACTCAATCAGAAACTGTTTTGGGGAAGGTAAGCAGGAGAACCCAGAAATCTAAATCTCTAATTCTAAATTAATTTTAGGGCTAAACATGCATATGACCCACAGAACACACCTTGCAGTGTTTAGAGGAAAAAATAAATCACAAATTGCATTTATATTGGAGATTTTAGAATGAGGTAGAACTTTTCTATTTAACCATTTTGAGTGAAGTAACATGATGTATGACCCCACGAATCGGATGCAGGGCTGAAGCAGAGACAAGAACAAAGTCGAACGTCAGGGCCATGGAACGGGTACGAGCCCTGGGCGCTCTGAAATAGCCAAGACTTCCTACACCAGGAAATGCAAACCAGGAAACGGTATCGAAATATTGCCAACTTGAGTTATCCTTTAATTAAATCTACATTAGAAAATAACTCACTCCAAATTTTACAAATTCATGCACCCAATTAGCATATTAATATTTGAATAAAAATTAAACTCCGCTATATTTACAATGTTTTCCAGTATTGCAGAAAATAATTTCTTTAAATAGTTGGACAGTTCCCTCCCTACTGTAAATGCGTTTTTACATCCCTGAAGCAGCTCTCTGTAAATTTGTGAACCATCGAGTGATCTTTCTGATGACGATGTATAACTCCAAATAAATTGTAGTTTATTCCCATTACAATAATTGCTTCCATCTTTTTAACTTAAAAACACACGGAGGAACAGTGAGCTCTGGAAGTGCTCCTGTAAGCACCGCAACAGAGAGGAGGCCTCATTTCCATGGTAACAGAAGACCTGGAAGACAGCCACACTGTAAGAAATTGCTCCCAAAACCCCAACCGAGAAATTTGGTGGAAACGGGGTTTAAGATATGGCGGACCCCTTTCTGGCTAGAAAAGCCCCGCTTTATAATTTCCCCTCCACAGTCCAAAACCTGGTTGGGCAAAGCACTGCAGGAGCTTTTGGCGAGTTCTGAACACGGCATCGATACTGCAGCAGAGCCCAACACCCCTCCTACCCAGAGAGCATTTCTGTGAGTTGCTTCCCAGCTCCAAAAGAAAAGGGAAAGGTGAGCAGAGGAGAGCTTACACAGTAAGGACACCCACTGACTCCAGGAATTTACACAGTTCTGCAACCTCGCCTTCAACCAGCCAAGAGAAAACTGATTTACAGTTCAGAGCGTTAAAACACAATTCACTTACTCGAGGAAGATAACCCAATAGTTTAGACGCATGCTCTTTCAAGAGTTTCCGTCTCTCTTCTTCAACAATTGCGCGGATGTTTTCTTGTCTCCTCTCCTCCCACTGCCTTTCTTCAAGTTCACGCTCCTACAACAAACAAGTTTTTGTAACTGTTCAGTTTCAGCTCTGTGAACATTTGTTTCCACCAATATCCACCACAGTACAAAGAGAAAATTTTTTTAGTGGAGTAAATTTTGAACTTCCACTTCTTAACTCCTGGTCACAGGAAATCCGTTTGAAAAGGATGGAAAGGTGTACGTAAAAAACCCCACAAAGCACTGTTTAAACAACACGGGGCTGGTAACTAGAGAAAAATCTCGGACAAGAGAGAGGACTGAATGGCAGGACATGGGGCTAGTACGTGTTTGGTCTCATACTAGAAGCTCTTTTAAAGGCAGTTAAGTGTTAAGTTCTGGTTCCTTCTTGTCCCTGAGACAAGTTAGTCTGTTCCCGCCCTGCTGTTCTAATCCAGGAAAAGGAGAAACAGGGATGTATTTTCATGCTGATAACTAGAAACTGCAATTCACGTTACACATCGCATTTATACCCTATAAACAGGTCCAAAAACTGCAGTATAGGATTCCATGACTTGTTTCCAGTTTAGACCTTTTCTTCCTCAGATGCTAATTTGAGACTTAACCTAAAATCAAGGCTGGGACTCCCCTTCTCGCGCATTATCGGCGCTGCTGCCAGGGACGCTGAACAGGACAACAGTTGTGTGGCTGATCCCAGGGCTCCCGAGGGGAGATCTGCAGAGCACGGCAGGTGTAAGGGGCCCAGGGATGTTGCTGACTCTTAACTCTTGAGCTACAAAAAAAAAGTCAGCTCCAAAAAAGACTTTTTTCTTGCCAGCAAACCAAAACAGAGGCCCGCTTCCCCCTGCACATTTCTCTGCAATTCCTGTCTCCCTAGGAGCAACAGCCTCGTCACTCAGGACAGCACAAGTACTCCCATATCCAAATGCTTCGGCTCGAACCAAAGGCAACTGTGAAAACTCTCACTTTATCTGCAATGAACTGTTTGCGACGGTCTTCAATAAGTTTTTCCACAGCCCTTCTGTGTTCAAGGTGTTTCATTCTTCGTTTCTGAGCATTCATCTGTTCCACGCGATCATCCTCTGCAAACTTGGCCAACATCTGCTGTCTGAAGGCTTCTTCCTCCTCTCGCACCGCTTGTCGCGCCACCTCCTTTAAGGCAAACTGCTCCTCATACGTTTGCCTTAAGTCTACGCGTTGCCTTATTCGCTTTTCAATTTCTGCCTATAAAGGGAATTTAATAAAAGGCTGCATTACTGAACATATTTTGGACAATTTTAATCCTCAGCAGCCAATCTACTCAATTTATCTTGGAATAAATTCACTGTAGCTGTTGCCTTCTAGCATAGACAGCTGGAGCAAACGCTCTGCACCTGACAGCGGTCTCCGGTATTAACTAGTTTGGCAAATATCTCGAGATTCTCAAAATTAAGTCCAGAACAAAAGGAGATTATTTTTTTCCGCTAGAATGAAGTGAATCAACAAGACAAGTCATCCTCAGCAACTCTCTAAAAATAGCAGCGTTGCGTATGTGTTACATCTCGTTTGTCACCCCAGCGAGGTACGACAGAGGGTGGGCGGGACCACAGGAAAAAGCAAATGACATGCAAAAAGCAAGCGGTGAATTCACCTACTTGGCTTGGCTTAAACCTGAGCTCGAAAGTCACTGCGTTCTCCTTCACGAGAGAGACAGATGTATGAAGGGGACCATAAGGGTATTCAGAACCTTCAGCTGTCTTCCCGGTCGAAATGAAAACATAGATGGGGATGGCAGAGGAAATTCAGAGGACAGAACTGTCCCTCCAAACACTAAGTTAACACACAGCTGCTTGTCTGACTAAGAACATTTAGAAAACAGTGTTGGAAATAGACACTTTGTGCCAGAACAGAACTGAAAACAATTGAAATTCTTTTAATACACCTAAGACCATGTCAGAGTTAAGCTTTTTGCTTTGAGAGAGCTCACAGACCAAAATGGGCTCAGGGAGTCCCTCAAAAACATCCCAAAGTCACAAATAACACCGCAGACTTAGCAAATCCAGAGTGTGGAACAAAAACCCAGCCCAGCCCAGGAATAACCCTGCCAGCATTGTCAGAGGCAAAGTCGTGGAAATGGGGGTTCCGTGGCCTCTGAAGAGCCTCCTCAGATGCCGCAGGAATTGCACGTGGGATACACTCTCACCAAGTGAGTTCTTTCTCACTGCAACTCGGTGACAATGTCCAAAGACCGAAGGAACGCTGCTCCACCACAAAGGCATCCGAAGTGAAGGGACAGAGCAAGCCTATGTAAAATACCGCCTCCTGCGTTCACTTTATTACTTATTTTCTAGATCAGCAATTCAAAATGGTTTAATTTTCTCTGTAAATTTTTTATCTGGTCTGTTTGAATTAGTCTGCCCATAGCTACGAGTGCTCCATAAATTACATGTTTTCCTGCACGTACACTACTACTATATTTTATAAAAATTTCATCCAGACGGGCTCTGCTAACCTGCATGTTACGCAGGAGTTACGGCACAGCTGCAATATCCTCTCCACTTGCATTTTCCCTTAACAGTTTACACACAGGTACATGTAACATACACACAACACATAAACAAACCTGTTAGGTGACAAGTACCAAAATACCCATGTATGTATCTGCAGGAGAAGTCGAGGGAAAGTGAAATATTCCCTGCCCGATACACAGGTACTTCACTGACCGGCCAGCACTTACCATCTCCTTCTTCCTTTCTGCCTCCGCTTGTTCTTCCAGATACAGCTCTTGGCGGATTTGTTCCAGTTCCTCACGCTTCTGTTGTTCCCTTTCTAGCTTCTGGGCAAGCTATGACAAGAAGGAAAGTTTTCTAAATGACAGACAAGAATGTACAATAAATTTTTTCTATACTTTCAATTTTTCATACCATGCTTTGAAGTCTTTGTTTTTTCTCCTCAGTGTCTCGAACTTTAGCCAGCCGATCTTCTTCTCGTTGTTGCTGAATGTTGGCAAACTCCATAATTTTCCTATTTTCTTCTTCCATCTCCTCCTGTTTCCTTCTCCTCCAGATAGCTTGCTCTTTTTTAAATTCCTCAATATATGTCTGAGTTGCTCTCATTTTATCTAACTTCAGTTGTTTTTCCCTGCAGATGGAAAAACGTGTTTAAACAGTTATTAACGTACTGCAGAGTACCACTAAACAGACCACATGCTCGTCATTAACAATACATTCCAGAGACTAAGATTTAAATGACTCTCCTCACCCATTCAGCTAGAAATGAGATACCTAAATTGAAAATACTTATTAATGATTTGCCCCAAAAAGGGAATCTCCTGTCCAACACCTTTCTTCAGTAGAACAGACCACACACAAGTACTCACTATTGCTCCATTTTATACGCTCTCCATCAAAACAGAGAGGAGAAGGAAGCCCAACAGCCTAATGGCACCAGAGTCTCCTAAACTTTTTATTTATTTATACCAAACTCTTCCCCCCGCCCGCCATGACCGCCCTGCCCTCAGGAACCTATCCCTGCCCGTAAGACAGGCACACAACTGCCTCACAAAGAGGCAGGGCCATGAGGCGAGGCAGGAATCTGTCACGTGCAGTCACTTCCAGCACGACGGGCCCGATGGAAGCACTCCTTGAAATAAGCTGGATTTCCTAATTGGGGAACAAGGGCACGAGATGGACTGGAATGACAAGAACATTGTGATGTTTAAACAGCAAAGTCCACCAAAGTCAGTCCCTTGCTAGTAAAACGTGACAAGGGAAATATAAAATGGTTCTTAATCTATGAAATAAACAAACATAAACCAGTTTTCTATACAGAATTATATGACTTGTTTTGTTTTCAATTAATAAATAATAAAAATTCAGAGTAACTAACATTTGGTCCTCCTCATAGATCTTCTTTACAATTTCACCAATCATGAGTTTCTCTCTTAGAAACTCTTCATAAGCATCCTGCTTCTTCCTCTCTTGTTCCTCAAGCTGTTTTTCCAGTTCTTGCTGATACATTATTTTCTCCTGGTTTCGCCTCAGCTCTGCAGACCTTTCTTCTTGTGTTACCCTTTCGTACTCTTCCTTCATCTTTCGGGCTGTTTCACCCTCCTGTTTCTATGGGGGACAAAGCAGTGCAGGATTCCTCGTTACTCCCGCTAACACAACTTGTAATGGAACAACGCACCGCACAGAAAGGAGTTACACT